AAAAGCAAATTTTGCATCTCAATTTCATATTTTATTGTTTAATATTTGAGCTCGGATTACATGTTATTACAGTGCTATGTCTCGTGTAATATTCGTAAATATTCTTAAATGTTCTTAAATATTCTTAAATGTTCTTCGATATTCTTCAATATTCATCAATATTCTTCAATATTCTTAAGTATTCTTCAATATTCTTCAATATTCTTAAGTATTCTTCAATATTCTTCAATATTCTTAGGTATTTGTCTTGAATATTTTTAAATATTCTTAAATATTCTTCAATATTCTTCAATATTCTTCAATATTTTTCAATATTCTTCAATATTCTTCAATATTCTTAGGTATTTGTCTTGAATATTTTTAAATATTCTTAAATATTCTTCAATATTCTTCAATATTCTTCAATATTTTTCAATATTCTTCAATATTCTTCAATATTCTTAAGTATTCTTCAATATTCTTCAATATGCTTAAATATTCTTCAATATTCCTCAATATCCTTAAATATTCTTCAATATTCTTAAGTATTCTTCTCAAATATTCTTAAGAAATATTGAACTCGCAAAAAAAATCCAGCGCGTCTTCCTAGCCTTTTATTAACAACTTTAACATTAATTATCTCAAAAACCATAACCCCCCATCTGCCCCCAAAACCGGATATCAAAAGTATCAAAAAGTAAGCTTCGAGCCTGAGAACCACTCCATCCAAATTAAATACTTCAATTTTTCAATGAAATGTTTCACATCGTCGAGAGACGCGACGGACAAAGCGTCACAGGAACGGTTTGCCAAAAAACAGCTCACGAATGGTCTATATATGACCTACGTTTGCATAACATTTTTTTCTTACTTTGTACCATAGAATGCGCTAACAAAGTTTGAACATTAAAACCTGGGACACCCTGTACAGCGTCAGGGAGATGCTCGGTGCTCTATAATTCAGCGTTGCTTCTTCTCGCCTGTATTAAAGTTGCCGACACTAAGGTTCCCCGCGGAACGTCTTCGATTCCCACGGACTGTCATTTGTTTCTGAATTCGTGCCGCAGTTTTCTCGGCCGTGTTCGACCTGTGGCCTGTAATTTTCCAGCTCGGCGCTACGGTAGATTGAGAGCCGGGGATGAAGAATTGCAGGAATTGTGCCGTCGGCGATAGGAAGTGGCGAGAAATAGGGATGGAAGTAATCGTAACATTGTTTAAGACGGTTTTCGAGAGACCGTTTCAATCTCGTTGCTCATTTTCCAGCGACACGTAATCCTTTTGTTCGGTAACCATTGCGGGACGGCGCTGCGAAACGAGGAACGATGGTGTTCGAAACATTTTGTGGGATTCTTTCGAGGTGCAGAAGTCGGAATCAAGTGTAACGTAATTCTTTTCTTTTAATAATTTTGATCATTTGGAATTAGTACGCCAATATTACTATTATTATTACATTATTATTATTATATTATCATAATTTATTAATATTATATTATATTATATTATATTATATTATATTATATTATATTTCATTAATTTATTAATTACTAGTATTATATTTATAATATTGTATTATCTTATATTATTATTATTATATTATTATTGATTCCTTTGAATGTTTTCACTGCTTTTTCAGCCACTCATTTTTGCCATAAATGCGTTAAATCCGTAGCTTAATTATTATACTATACTTAGAGAGAGTATATTACTATTATACTATATATTATACTATACTTATAGACTTATATTCTACTTATATTATATTATATTATATTATATTATATTGTATTGTACTGTACTGTACTGTATTATATATTATATTATACTATTATATTATACAATATTATACTTATTTAAATTTTGATCTAACAATTAGAGAGAATTTACTGTATTTTTATTTCCCGATGCATCAGCTGTTTATTCTCGATGTAGCAAATCTGCTTACGAACGTACAAAAGAAAAAGAAGTATAACAATTAAAAGTGAAATTACACATATATAATATTCGTTCCTCGAATTTCTCGTACGACTGGTTTCTTTAACAGAGCATCGACAACAAAGCTCATGGACGTACACAATGGTATAAACAACGTATCCGTAATAGTGTATCATAATACACACAATACTCCGTACAATGCTGAAAAGAACAGCAAAACAATTGGGGAAAAAAGAGGTAATATAAACCGCGCACTTTATTTGCCCTTGTTCTCGAGTTACGGTTCTGTTTTTGTGTATCAAACTAGGCTAGCCTAATCGATTTCGCCGGACAGTTTCTCTGTTGAAATCGATGTCTTGTCTTCTCGGGAAGTGAATTTTTCGACGTCGCTTGCATGTTACCACCGTTCCCCTCCCGCGCCCCCCGCCACCCACAACGATGCAATTTTTAAAAAATGTAATCCGTCGAATTGTGAGATTGACGGAGATATGTTACGCTAATTGTGATCGTGACGACAGTATACGTTAAAGAGAACTGTGTATCACGCGGTCGCTAATGAATTCGCTCGGCGAAAGAAAATTTCCAAGCGCGTCGCGCCATCGAAGATGATAAAAAAACATCATGCGCGGCGTGCGGATTGTGTTCTAGTTCTTTCTTTTTTACGGGAATACCAAATATCGAGCGGTCAACATTTAATATTTAAATTTAATATTTTATATGTCTAAATCTAAACTAAATCTTGCAATTTAATGTGTAATATATAACAGTCAATATTCAACATTTACAATTCCATATTTGATATGTAATAATCAGTGTCATATATCACATATTAAATTGCAAGATTTAGTTTAGATTTAGACATATCAAATATTAAATTTGAATATTAAATGTTGACTATTAAATAGAAAATATTAATTGGTAATATTGATCATTGAGCATATATATATTGCATATCAAATATTAAATTTTAACATTGAATGTTGACTATTGAATAGAAAATATTAAATGGTAATATTGATTATTGACCATATATATATATTGCATATCAAATATTAAATTTTAACATTGAATGTTGACTATTGAATAGAAAATATTAAATGGTAATATTGATTATTGACCATATTACATATCAAATATTAAATTACAATATTGAATATTGCTAATTGCTAATTCAATATTGCGTATTGAATATTGCTAATTGCTAATTCGATATTACATATTGAATATTGCTAAAAATTAATATTGCTAGTGATAATGTAAACATTATTAACATTAATTAATAATAATATCATTTATATTTAACTGTGATTAACATATGCCTACAATTGGTATTCTGATAACTAGTTTAATTTTCCTCCTTCTTCACATTGCATTTTCATTGCATTTTCATTGCATTTCATCGTTGCATCTATCATTTTACCATTAATTATTTATCATTTGCCTTTCATCTATTCATTAATAATCACGCGATTCCAACAAACAAAACTATTGAACATTCATCAGCACTGTGCCTACATCCTTTCGTAACAAACTGTAATAAACTAACTGTAAATATACACACGAATGTAAAGGAGGCTGTCTTCGCTCGCTTTCAAATCCATTATCTGTTTTGCGATATAATCAAACACCACACATACACACACAGCTCACCAACAACTGATCAAGAACAGTATCCAGCGCGACCCAAAAGAAACCATCAAGATTTTTCTACCAACCGAACAATTCCTCATCTGTCAAGCTTCTCCAAAAACTCCATCGAAGAGATCCCCCTCGCAGATAAATTTTTCAGCAACCGAATAAGTCACTCGGTTATTTCCGCTCGCCTCGGTCATTTCTCGCGGCCGCTCTTCATTATTTCTACGTGTCTCTCGCCCACGGATGAAGTGGGTCTCGCATGTTGTGCAGTGCCCCCGTAAAAGAAAGCTGCGAGTCGAAAAGCTTAGGACTCGCATGAAGAAGCGCTCGAGGAGGCAGAGGCCTCGGAAAAGAGTTGGAACCGAGGCGCGGGGCTCTCTGTCGAGACTGGAAGAAAGAGAGAGGTTGCAAAGATGAAAGAGAAAGAGAGAGAGAGAGAAAAAGAGGCAGCAAAGACGAAAGTGAAAGAGATAGGAAGAGAGAGAAAAAGAGAGACGGAGAGAGAAAGAGAGAGAGAGAGAAAGTGCGCACTAGAGGGAGAGCACGAGAGAGAGCGCGAGAGAGAGCGCTAGAGAGGGAGTGCGAGAGAGAGAGCGCGAGAGAGAGAGCGCGCGAGTGAGAGTGCACTAGAAAGAGAGCGCTAGAGAGAGAGCGCGAGAGAGAGAGTGCTAGGGGGAGAGCGCGCTAGAGAGATCGCGAGAGAGAGCGCGCGAGAGAGAAAGCTCGCGAGAGAAAGAGAGCACAAGAGAAAGAGAGCGCGAGAGAGAAAGCTCGCGCGAGGAAGAGAGCGCGAGAGACAGAGCGCGAGTGACTAAGAGAGAATCCTCTCTCTCTCTCTCTCTCTCTATCTCTCTAGAGGGAGAGATAGGCAGCAAAGACGAGAGTGACTAACAACACTCGTGGACAGAGGAGGACCGACATGTCGCGAGCATGAGGGGGAGAGCCGCGGCGCCACGGTTCGTCGCGACGCTCAGTCTACCGGCGTCGTCCGTGCAAACGCGTCGAACGCGGATTGTCGATGGAAATCGCGCGTGGCATCCAACCCCGCATGGTTGCACATGGTTCCGCGCCGTCCACTCGCAACAAGGAGTTCCTCTCGTCGGCTGAAATCCGTCACCGGAGCAATCCGACATTCAAAATTCGACAGCGCTCGCCTCCTCGCAACTGCGATGTCGCGATCAGAACAGTCGTGAGCCTCAAATCGGGCCCTGTTGTTAGAAGTTGTGCTCAGAGCGATGTTACATGCGAAAATGTTCGAGAGAAGTTTCGCTCGGCGTCCCTGGGCAACGCGGAACCAGTGGACTCTGATTGGAAATTAAGTTCTGCTGCGAGGAATCGCGTTCGAAGTCGTTCCAACAAGTTCCGGTTTGTTGACACGTTCGTTCCAGCGTGCTCGAGACAATTGGAACCAGTGTCTTTTTAATTGTATTGGGAGAAATTGTGTTCACGAGTGTCTTGAATGAGCAAGCTTCGACGTTGAGCTTTGTTGGAGGAATAAATTATTTGTGCGCGAAGTAATTTTGTAGCGAGAACTTCAGCTTTAAAGGACTCTGGTTTGGTGCATCGTGAAAGGTGTGACGCAAAGTGTACGTTCGAATCCTAAAAAGTTCTGAGAATTCTAAGGAATTGGGCCCGTAACGCGGTCCCAAAATTTCTGTCTGCTGGAAGCGGTGCGCGAAGTTTGGGATCATTGAAGATCGGTACGAGTTTTTCGGGGGAAATTTTCAGCTGCCCTGCGATTGCGGACGTGGAGTTCGAGCCACCGTGTACGTTTGATGGTGTTCGTGTCACCTGCTGGCGATTTCGATGCTGGTTGTCTGGTAATTCGCGATTCAAGGCTGACAAAGAAGCAGCCATTAGCCGGGAAGAGAATTAAGGAAACGGTTTTTGGGAGCGGGGTTGGACGACGTTTGTGCGATTAGCGCTGCCGTTTGGGAAGTGAATATTCTGAATACGTGGGCGAGCGAACCCTCCTGAAGGGCAAGTTTATTATCGCGTAAATAAAGTTTCGACAAAAGCATTGAAACTGCGAACCACTTAGACGGCCCCGTAGAGACGCGGAGCTCGAAGCTTACTTTGCCAACTTTCTGTCGACCATGACTTAATTGTCTGAATTCTCTCGCTCACGATCGAGAACCGTTCCTTGAAATATATCGGAGCTAGCTTAAAATTATTTCTCGCCTATAGTTGAGCACCGAATAATCGATAAATATCTCCACTGTTACTGGCGGATGATTTTGGTTTATTCGAGAAATTCATTTGGTGTATAGTAAAAACAGAATTATTTTATCATAGAGGGAGACCAATTATTCAAAATTGATATATTAAAAATAATTTCGGTGATCTGCTAGAGTGAGGAAAATAACGAAGACTAAAAACATTATCTTAGAAAATATTGGACAATATTAGACGA